GGGAAGTAGGGTAGAGGGGAATGATGGAGGGAAGATAGAAAGTTGGAGGGGGGGGGCAGAAGAAAGAGGTGTATGGAGAGTGGAAGAGATATATTGGGTTTCTATTTTGGGGGGTATTGTTGACAAGAGGAATTGCTGTGATTATTGTTTAATGTGGTACGGCCCCGGCTATGCACAGTATATATGTGAGTGTATGAAAATGAAAAATAAAAACATTTTAATGAAAAAAAAAAGGTGTGGATTTTATCTATAGAGTTGCCAAGAGTCAAATCTGACTGAAATATAAATTAAATAATTAGGTTAAAAAGTTCAATTGATACACTGAAGCTAGGGTAACAGGATTATGATATGAAACACTTCAGGATTTCAGCTCCTTATGAATTTATCACACTTGAAATAGCATAACATGCTCATATTCCTAAGAAGTCTGCCTAAAGCTCTTGGAACACACTGAGTAATTATTTGATGTCTCTAATTAAGAAATAAAAAAGCCAAAACAACAACACATGATTTGTAAGAGAAAGCCAAAGAGGGGAAAAAAACTTTTAAAATTCTAAATAAATTTAAACAGAGAAAAAGTGGGGCAATACAATAAATTGGGACATTTAGGATTCTCTTTTTTGTGAAAGAAAATATGATTACATAGCAGCGGTTAAGTTTGTGGCTTTGCTTTTACCTGTAAGCTTGATCTCTTTAATCCTTGAATCACTTTGCAAAGATGTGCCGGTTCTACCGTTGCCAATGGCAAAGCAACCCAGTTACCTTAACTGTCCTTTCATTTCCTCCAGTCTTGCTCGTCAACACTTTCAAGGTGCCTCTGTGCTAAGAAAACAAATATCATGCTGTCAATTTACTACCGCCAAATCACTGGCTACAGTCTTTGACCTTTAAACAAATAAACAAACAAACTAGAATTTCTCTCCATAAATTAAAGCAATCCATATGGTCAAAAGTACAAGACCACCTTTGGTCCAGTTAAAATGAGCCTCAGTTAAGAATCTAATTTTATATGAGTTTCACAGATCCGTGTTAAATTACAGTTGTTTACATATTGATTGCTTTTGCTGACTTGAAACTATGCCAATAAAATCTATTAACTCACTACTAATCTCTAGCTGGGCACTTTCCACATCCATAAAAAGAAAGAAAAGATATAGAACTATCATGTTTACAAAACCTGTTCATGAAGGAGATTTTGTTTTGCATTACAGAGGAGAGCCTGGGCATAGGAGAACCTTTATCAAATTTAGGTTGGTATTTTCAGGATCTTTCTGCTCGTATTGGAGTTACATGACATAACTCACTGCATGGAGTTAAAGGTGCAATAGGCAGAACTGAGGTCTTCCATTCATGCAAACAGCTTTTCTTCTCTATTGCTTCCTACACTTAATCTGCACCAAGGAAAAGACTGTTCTGGGAAAATTGCAAAAGGAATCTCCTTCTTCCTGACCATTGACAGAAGAAAATAATCCAAGACAACCAAGTGTTTCGCAAAGTAGATGCATATATTCAAACTATCAGATATATGTTTAGATCAGGGGTGTCAAACTCAAGGCCTGTGGGCCGAATCCTGGCTTAGATCTGACCCACGGGGCCACCCTGGAAACAGTGAAGGACCAGCCTGCAGTGCCACTGCCGGCAAAAACAGAGCTCCCGAGCTCCATTTTCAGCTGCGACGGCCTCCTGCAATCCTCTGCCAATGAAAATGGAGCTCCATTTTCACAAGCAGAACACTTGGGCCACCACAGGCACCGACATGAGTGACGTTGAGCTGGCCATGTCCCCACCTTCCTGAGGTCAAACACAACCATGATGCAGCCCTCAATGAAATCAAGTTACTTCTCTTACTGAGAAGCAACAGATCCATGCCTTTTTTCCTAAAGGATGCTTTCAAGCACTTCTTTTTTTCTCATATTCTAGTGTGTTTAGTGTATTTGATATGCATAGTGTATCTTGATGCCACATAATCAATCAATATATTTGATATACATACAAACTATATGAAAAGTTGCCTGGAATTCATTTTAATGCAAAACAAAATTGCAATGTCAGATTAACTTATTTTTGTGATCTTAGATCTGTACAAACATGGGATATTTATAAACTTGTATATTTAATGGATTTATAAGGCCACCCAAATGAAACAATGTGACTCCAGGTGGCCCACAATAAAAATAAACAATAAACAGAATATATAGTAAAATCTTTGCTAGGAAATCCCTGTTTTTCCTCCTCCAGTTTTGTTGAGAATTGTTTTTAAAAGATAAAGGCAGGATTACTAAAATTTCCAAATTAAATGTTTCCCATTACTACCTGGGAGGTCTTCTGAATGCCATAAACACTTACATGAATTATTTTTAGAAGTAACCTTGGGCACTAGTTTTAAAGAGATTAGCATTCCGTGCCTTGCATAATGCATATTTTAGAGACATACACCCTGGCAGCTCAATAACTTCATATGAATTTTGCAAACAAACCTGCAAAGCTAACTAACTACATTCCATAATTACATACTGATACAAAATCTAAAGAACATTCCATTAAAATATGAACTAGCCTTGCTGCCAACACTATTTTCCACTACTCATACTACATTTAAACACAGTTAATTCTAACCCTTCATTAGATTTTATCATATTGGATTTTAAAATATGATTACTGCCAACAAATACAAATTGAGCCTCCAAGCCTGACATTCTTACTTAAGCTTTACCACTTGTTTATTTGATACACCAATAAAGTAATTTATAGATATTGAATTGAATCCAATCTTTTTGTTCCGGGAGAGAAAAAAAGGGCTCTAATCTGCTTAACTAAGCCTAACGCCGAAGTTCCTTTAATCAATTATTTTCAAATACTGAACAGAAAGAACAATTTATTTCTATTTCCTTTTCCCCTGTAGGACCCTAAAACATAATGTCCTGTTAAGTTGCTCAGTATGAACCCTCATTCAGTACCGGTTCAAAATTATGACAGCACTGAATGAATGGTAATTATGTGCAGTCTCCAAAGTTACAGCAATTGCAGCATCCCCATGGTTGTGATCAAAAGTCATGTTCTTGGCAATCTGCCCACACATAAGACCAGAGGTACTTCAATTCTCCCCAGCTGCTTAACTCTCCTTCCCATCTCTGCCCTTTTGCCCCACTTCCCCCCTGCACTCTGCCATCTTTGCTGGTCCAGCTACACCGCACACCACTGGCCCTGCTGCTTCAAGCCTAGCAAGAAGGCTCCATGCAATCAGGACAAGGCCTCATGGGAAGAAGGTTAGTAATGGGAGGAAGAAGCAAAGGATAGCTAGGGGCAGCAGGATTGGCAGACTCACCAGAGTGTAGGGGGGGCAGGGAGTGGAGCAGGGGTGGGTTCCGACTGTCACTACTGCCATTTCACTCGTGTGCACGCTTTGTGTGTGCACGCTTGATGCACATGCTTGATGCGCATGCATGCACAGTGCAATTAAAATTGTTCTGGGCGTGCACAGAACTGAAAGGTGCCGACAGATTGGGGGCGTGGCAAGCCTGGGTCACTGCCAGTTCCAGCGACCCAAGCCACCAAACCACTACCGGTTCAGCTGAACCAGTCTGAACTGGTAGGAACCCACCACTGGAGTGGAGCACACAGGCAGCTATGTGGCAGAGCAAACAGAGTGCAGGGCAGTCAAAGGGAAAGAGATGGGGAGGAGGTAGGCAGGTTGAAGAGTTAAAGGAGGCAATTCCTACTGAGGAGGAAAGCGTTGAAGAGGAGGCAGTTCCTACTGAAGCTTGAGGCTGGGAAGGAATCAAGCCAGAAATGGTTTGGATTGGGATGGGTCATTGCCTAATGTTAGAGTGGGATTCAGTTAATGAGACCAACCAGGACTGTTGGGATTGCAGTCACTAAGCAATGTGATCACTTGATATCATATTTTACGACCACATTACTTAACGAAAGAAATTATGGTCCCAATTACGGACATTAAAGAAGGAATTCTATGACTGAAGAAACAAGGAATGATACAATCTGTTTAGAG